GCATGGCCTCTGCCTTTTCTTTGTTCATCTTAGTCTCTCGGATTCGATGGCGTTGTGCATAGCGCATGCCACAAACTGAAGTGTTTCCTTGATTCTCCGCTTGTCGCCTTTTTCTGGACTTCCCCATGCACTCTCCACGCATGCTATCACTTTACCTTCGAAGGAAAGTGGCAGGTAGAGTGTTCCAGCAATTTCGCGTTGGATGCCAGTAAGCACCGCTTTGCCGAGTGGCGTTGTTTCATCAAGTGTCGAGGCTGTGGCATACACAGGGTCTTTTAGAAGGTTGTCGGTGGGGTCCAGGTAATATACGCGGCACCTAGGTGAATTAAGGCAGTTGCCGAGTTCTTGATTTAGTAATTGAAAAACATCTTTAAGAGGTTTGCCAAAGCCGAAAACATTGTCTATTAGAGATCCCAAATCCGTCGTTGGACCAATTGAAGACGTTTTCGAGGTCCCCAACGACGCAACGGTTTCAGTGAGAAAATCATGTGGCACTCGCAGTAACAGTGAGGCAAATGCCTTTTTTTCTGAGTCAGAAAGTTGCTTGTTGTTGCGTTGGTAGCGTGCCAAGATGGACTCGCTAATGGCGAAGGCTTCGCAAAGGTGGTTCGTTTCTTTCAATAACTCTTGAGTATTGGGAAGCAGGCGTTGTTGAGTAAACATTGGTTGCCAAGTGGCCTGACGCAATGAAGTTAAGGTCTTAAAATGTTAGAAGCTGGAAACAAGTAAAGAGACATAGAGAGATAGAGGGGAAAAAATATACATATATATTTCTATTTATATGCTGTGATGCCAACAACGACAAAACACAAGAGGACTGAGCCCCTCACAATGATTCAATCATGGACAGCAAGAAGCAAAGAAAAAAACGAACAAACAAACAAAAAAAAAAAAAGAGACGTGTCGGTGGGGAGTAGATGAAAACGCGGAACTCCATTGGTGGAATATTCTGTACGACACCTCAAGTCCCACTGGAAAAACAAAACAAAAAAGAACATGGATGCAGATGCAGGCAAATACATTGCAATCAAAGAAGTATACCCACGTTTTATTGAACATAAAGGGTGATTTATGCGCGTTGCAAGAGTACCCCATGAGGGTATAAGTCTAAAAGTCGGTTTTGTATGGTAAAATAAATAAAAAGGAAAGGAGGAAGTGAGGGAGTGAAATAGAATCGTCACCGGAATATAAAGTAGTACAGTAAATACATTTCATCTGCTTTTTTTTTTTTTTTTTCGCTTCTCTCTCTCTCTCTCTCTCTCTTTTTCCCTGAACATCGTTGTTGTTTCTATGGTTTGGGGGTCTTCTTCGCTACCCCTTTTTTAATGGCACGCTCGGGTGCCAAGTAAGTCTCTGTTAATAACGCATTGGCCTTTTCGAGACGGAAACAGCCCGCTCTATCCATAACATCGTCATACACCGATTTCCCGTATCGGGTTTCTGCCAGCAGTGTAGCAATTTCCACGTCACTCATGCGGGAATAAATGAGGTACGTCTTTGGTGGAACATTTACTCCGTCCGGGTGAATGTGGGAGATGTAAGTTCCCTGATCCGTGCTCCGACCCGCATTGGCCCTTTCCAAGTTACGCAGCGCCTTGAAATACAAGCTTTCGCGGAATCGATCGGATTCCATGAGCATCTTATATTGTGTCGCCTCCGGTTCCGGCAGAGATGTCTTGGCGGTGACAAGTCCACGGTACTGCGCAAAAAGCCGCACAATATCAAAGCGTTCTACATCAAAGGTGGCGCAGTGAGACGCGCAGTACCTTTCAAACTGGGGTGCGTCCTCATCCGTGATAGGCCTAAACTTCGCCCGCTCCTCCTCTGTGAGGGCGTCAAATTTTTTCGACAGATTTTCCCACAAATCGCCTGAAACTATCCGGTTGACCGCAAGAACCCGCGAGACGGCTGTGAAAAGGGCCTTCTGCGTCGGAGCCACGCTTCTCAGCATCTCCACAAACGATTCAAAGTAGCGCATTTGCGGAAAATACCAGGCTGCTGGTAACGCTCGCTCCGTCTTCTTATTCTTGTCGCGGAGTGTCTTGGGCACCAGTTTTTCGCGAAGTTTTTTCTTGTGTTCAGATTTAAGTTGTGTCAACGTATTCCTCGCCATGTGGGCGGTAAAGAACTCGTCGCCCGCACGCGCCATTTCTTCGGACCGAAAGAGAAGTCGCATGAGTAAATTAAAGTCATTAAACGACTTTTCATTGTCATGACCCTTAAGAACCCCAATTTCACGCGCGCGTTTGTTGTACGAATGGCGCTCCCCACGAGTGAGTTGCTGCCAGCGTCGCGAAACAACCCGCATGTTCTCATGTCCATGTCGCAGGTTTTTAGCTGTGAGGACCTGCTCCTTCTCCTGTATTTCCTTAGCAAAGAGTGAAAACCCGTTGATGTGATGACGTGCCTGTGCCATTCGGGCACCCTGAAAAGACTGAGCATTGCCGCTAAGAAGGCAGTAACGTCTCATACTTGCGGGAGGGGCGAAGGCACGCTAAACACCTTTTAAATTTGCGTTGTTGTAATGGAAATGATACAAACCATATATATACACATTGTATGTACGTATATATACGTATGCATATGCATATGGTTTGTAATGTACACCAAGAGAAGGAGGGGAAAGAGAACTTTCATAGTGTATCAAAAGCAAGCAGACGTGTAATACCCAAATATTACAAAAGACTTTCATATCCATGTAAAAACAAAACAAAGAAAAAAAAAAAAAAAAGAGAAAAACGGCAGCAGAACCAAAAAACAACAATAACAACAACAAAAAAAAAAAATAAAAAAAAAATAAATAAAGAGAAACATGTGCCAAAAATTCAACAACGACAACAAAGAGAGACATATTTTGAATATGTCACTTCACACGGGCACCATCGTGCAGCCCTAACAGCCACATTAGTGCAAAATGTACACCATACCACAACTGACCACCAAATGATGCCCGCTCAAGAATCATCTCACGACTACGGTACGACCAACGAAGACCCAGCTGACCGCTAAGGGTAGGGAGACTAATCTTCATCCGGTGCCTCACCTGCCCACTGTATGCCTCCTTCTGATAGCTGAAGACATACCACCGAGAGAAACGAGTGTTTATAACAAGAGATGTCACGGTCGTATCGCCACTCGCTTGTTTCCAGCACGATTGATCAAGAATAGAACGCAGAAAAGAATTCAGAAAAAGTGACTCTACGATTAACTTACTATTGTCCCACAGCCAAAATAAGTACGACTCACCGACGTCCTTGCTACTCATTGGATATTCCTTTACCTCATAGAAACAGCTCGGGGCATGCAGCGCCCGCGCAGTCTCCCCCAACGGGCTCTCAAGGAGTGTAACAGAGTTCCAGAAGGTCATGGTAGGGCACGGGTTGGTGCTGCGCAGTGCATTATCATAGCCCACAAGTCCCAAATAGAGAGGAATTCGGTAGCGGGAGATAAAAAAACGCCCCTTTCGGTTACGCAAAGCTAGCGACGCTGCAAAAGCCACCAAAAATGAAAAGTCGGCATATTTGTTGTTGATATCATCTAGACAATGTTCCATAAGTCGCCATTCAACATTTGTCGGGGAGTACAAACGCCGCTGGGCGAGGTAGAGCAGCGTAAAGAAGTCTTTCCGTCGTGCATTTTCCTCCTGAAGAGCGGCCCTACTCACTCCTGGTTGGCTTAATAACATTCACGTGCTAATTAACACATACACACATGTAAGTGTGTTGGTGTTTGTGGTAAAAAAAATAAGAGAAGAGATAAAAAAAAGAATAATAATAATAATAAATAACAATTAATAAACGTGGCAAATAAGATGTACTCAAATAGAAACAGGCTTTTCTTCCGTCGTGTCATGCAATTCAAAAAAAAAAAAAAAAAAAAAAAGAGTGGGAGAGTGGCCTCAGGCCGCCGTGTCCGGAAGTGTCGAAGGGAAAGTTTCAGAGAAACAGACATGCCAGGAAAGCAAGCCGAAAAGTAAAAAGAAAAAAAATCACTCCACAAGTTCTACGACGCCCTGCTGAATTAACGTCTCGGCCTCTTCAAACCCTAATAAAATTTGTTTGCCCTTGTAAAGGCTAATCACCGCCCCGGAGATGGGGGAGACAAACACATGGTCCACTAAGCCACGAACTTCCAACTGCTGCGTCGAAGGAGGACGCCATGTGAAGGCTCTAAGATCTAACGGGACCGCAAAGGATGTCATGTATTCCACCATAACATCATTATATTCCTGCAGAAAAGTTGATTCAAATGGGGTCAAAACACCCGACAAGGCGTTATCTTTCGCCTCCCACCACGCCCGTGTCATCTGCGATTTCCTCCACATCATGTACGCTAGGAGACAACGCTTGTCCCTCAAGTACTTAGCCCGGTAGTACTTCATGGAGCTGGCGTAGAACGGCTGAGACGCATCGGCGTATGGGTTGCGTGAGATGCCTTCAAGATGACGGAAGGAGTCCGATACGCCATCCACGACGGCCTTCACCTTGCGCTCATTAAACGGCACCATCGTGCCTCCACTCACAACGAGCGCCCGCAGCTCATTGATGAGCTCAGCGGAAGGATCCACAACGTCCTCCATTGGCACACAAAGTCCCCCGCCCTTTAAAGCTCAACCAACAAAAAAAACAATAACAAGAAGGAAAGCACAGCGTGGAGAAGACACACACACACGCAAACACAAAAGGAGAGAGGGAGGGTGCATCAACTCCCCGAACACAAAGAGCACCCCACAGTGAAGGGCGGGAAAAACAGTCACAAAAACAAAATTCCTTCGGGTAGACACACACACACACAAAAAAAAAAATTATGCCGCCTCCGCTAAACTTCCCTAAAAAAAAAAAAGAAAAAAAAAGAGCACTGCACAGTTTTTTCATCAGTAACGCAGAGAAGACAAGAAACGGATGAGTCCTAGGGTTCTTTTTAAAACCAAAAGAAAATATATTAGAAAAGAAAAAAAAAAGTGAATTAAAACGCGAGAATAAAACAAATTAGAAATGAAGAAACACAAGAAATCCTATTTGGTTCCCCCACCCGAGCTGTCAATCCTCGAAGTCACATGTGTTCTCAGCACACCCCACCAATTCTACTCGTTTTATTTGTTTCGCTTATTTTGTTTGTTTCCGTTTTTCCAAATTTTGAAACGTGAAAAGTCGGGGAATTTCTTCTTCTTTTTTTTAAAATTAATTTCGTGCAATGTATGAAAAGGAAGCGCACCGGGACAAGGAGCACAGACGCAAACATCAACGCACCGACTTTGGCTTTAGCGAGTGGCTCGGGGCATTCTTGTCACTCCCTGAACGATCATGGTGGGCGTTTTCATACTCCTCGGCAAGAACATCCGCCTTGTCCTTCGGTGGAACGTAATCCTCATTTTCCTTTGGGGGCATCTTTATTGCGTTCCTTTAGTTTTCTGGCTCTTGTTTTTTTTTTTTTT